AATCAGTTGGCTTCTTATACACTGGCACAGAGAACTTCAAAAACGTCATCAGGAAAACAATGCCATTTTATCTTTTTAGGAGCTATTATAAACACTATAGTATTTATAATTGTGTAGATAAAATACTTAGGAATAAATCTCACCAGGGATGTAAAAGACCTATACAAAGAAAACTACACAACACTATTGCAAGAAACCAAGAGACCTGCATAAATGGAAAAACATAACCATACTCATGGATGGAAAGACTCATCATTGTGAAAATGTCAGTTCTACCCACAGTGACCTTCAGGTATAACGCAATCTCGATCCAAATACCAAAAGCATTCTTTATAAGGAAATGGAAAAACTAATCACCAACTTTATATGGAAAGGAAACAGGCCCCTGGATAAACAAAGCATTATTGAAGAAAAAGAACAAAGTAGAAAGCCTAACACTACCTGATCTCAGAAGCTACTATACAGCCATGTAGTCAGAACAGCCTGCTACTGGTACAAGGACAGACACATAGACCAATGGAATGGAATCGAGAACCCAGACGTAAATCCATCCACGTATGGTCAGTTGATCTTTGACAAGGGACCAAAGTCCATTAAATGGAGGGAAGGACAGTCTTTTTAACAAATATTGCTGGCAAAACTGAATTCCACCTGTAAAAAAATGAAACAGGACTCATACCTCACATCATACACAAAAACTAACTCAAAATGGATCAGAGACCTAAATATAAAACCTAAAATGATAAAGATCATGGAAGAAAAAATTGGGACAACACTAGGGGCCCTAATATATGGCATAAATTCAAACCATAACTAACAATGCACAAACACCAGAAGATAAACTAGATAACTGGGACCTCTTAAAAAGTAAACACTTACACTCTTCAAAAGACTTCACCAAAACAGTAAAAAGAGAACCTACAAACTGGGAAAAAAAAGTTGTCTATGACATATCCGACAAGGATCTAATCTCTAAAATATGTAGAATACTTCGGCACCTCAACAACAGAAAGACAAATAATCCAGTTAAAAAATGGACAAAGGTTATGAACAGACCACTAAAGAAGACATTCAGGTGGCTAACTGACATATGAGGAAATGCTCGTGATCACTAGCCATTAGAGAAATGCAGATTCAAACTGCGACATACCATCTCACCCCAATATTACTGACATTAATCAAGAAGATAACAAATGTTGGAGAGGTTGCAGGGAGATTGGAACTCTTATGCACTACTGGTGGGAATGTAAAATGGTACAGCCACTGTGGAGAATGATATTGGAACCTCCTTAAAAGCTAGAAATAGAAATACCATATGATCCAGTAATCCCACTCCTAGGAATATATTCTAGAGAAATAAGAGCCATCACACGAATAGACATATGCACACCCATGTTCATTGCAGCATTATTCACAATAGCAAAAACATGGAAACAACCAAAATGCCTGTCAACAGATGAATGGATAAACAAACTCGTACATGTACACAGTGGAATACTATGGAACAATAAAGAACAGTGATGAATCTGCAAAACATCTCACAACATGGATGAATCTGGAGGGCATTTTACTGAGTGAAATAAGTCAATCATAAAAGGACAAATATTGTATGAGACGACTATTACAAAAACTCGATGGTTACCAGGGAGGGGAGGTGTGGGGAGGAGAAATCTTTAACTAGATAGTGGACAACTATTTACTTTGGTGAAGGGAAAAACAACACACAATATAGGGGAGTCGGCACAAGTTGACGAAGGCAAAGTCGTAGAAGCTTCTAGACACATCCAAACTACCTTGAGGGACCAAGTTACTGGGGCTGAGGACTGGGGACCATGGTCTCAGGGGTCACGTAGGTCAATTGACATAACATAGTTCATAAAGAAAATGTTCTACATTCTATTTTGGTCTGGGGTCTTAAAAGCTTGCGACTGGCCATCTAAGATTCTTCTGTTGGACCCATCCTGTCCATAACAAAGGAGAATAAAGAAAAGCAAAGACACAAGAAAATAATTAGTCCAAAGTACTAATGGACCACATGAGCCACAGCCTCTACTAGCCTGAGCCCAGAAGAACTAGATTGTGCCTGGCTACTACCACTGACCACTCTGACAGGTATCACAATAGATGGTCCTGGACACAGCAGGAGAAGAATGTAGAACAAAATTCAGATTCACAAAGATCAGCCTGACAGAGACTGAAGGAACCCCCAAGACTGTGGACCCTGGACACCCTGCTAACTCAGAACCGATACCACTCCCAAAGTCCATCTTTCAGCCGAAGACTAGACAGGCCTGTAAAACAAACAGTAACATCCATGAGGAAGGTGCTTCTTAGTGCAGTCAAGTATACAGGGCCAAATGGGCAACATCTGCCCAAAAGCAAAGATGAGAAGGCAGGAATGGACAGGAAAACTGGATGAATGGACAGAGGGAACCTGGGATGGAAAGGGAGATAGTGCTGACACATGGCGGGGATTGCAGCCAGTGTCACAAAACAATTTGTGTATACACTTTTGAATGAGAAACTGTATATATGCATTTTATAATTAAATTGCGAACATGTATAACAAGTTATCATGCACGTGGAAAAGCAAGTTTAACTATTCACCAAAAAAATAGTTTGCATGCTTAAAATATATATTTTAAACAAGAAAAAAACCTCGATGTTAAGCAATAAAGAAAATGTAATGATAGTGTTAAGAAAAAAACAAAACCTGTTCACAGTTGTTTATAACAGCATTATTCATAATAACCAAAATGTAGGAACAACTCAAATATCCATCAGCTGATGAATGGATGAACAAAATGTGGTATAGCCATACAACGGAATAATATTTGTCCATAAAAAGGGAATGAAGTACTGATAACCTATTACAGCATAGATGAGCTTGAAAACATGCCACCGAGTGAAAGAAACTAGTCACAGAAGACCACGTTGTTTGATTCTATTTATATGAAATGTCAAGAACAGACAAATCAATAGAGATAGAAAGTAAATCGGTGATTGCTTAGAGATGAAGTCACTGAGGGGAGAGGGGAATGATAGCCGAAGAGTAGAATTTTTTTTGAGATAATAAAGATGTTCTAAAATTGACTATGGTGATAGTTGCACATATCTGTGAATATAGTAAAAACTATTGAATTGTACACTTTAAATGGGTGACTTGTATGTGCATTATATCTAAAAAGAAAAGCTGTTAAAAAAAATCATTTTAAAAAGAGAAACGAGAATCACAAGTGATTGGTGTGGGGGGTAGATCGAAGTTTGACAGGGTAGTCAGGAGATAGCCCAGCAAGCCTTGATGGCTGTGCAGAAGTTAGCCATTGAGTATGCTGGGGAAGAGCCTTTTGTAGGCAGCAGTTAGAGCTTGTGCCAAGGTCCTAAAGCAAGAATGAGCATGCCTGTGCTGGGGACAGCCAGGAGGTAGTGCAGCTGAAGAGGACGAAGAAGGGAGGGGTAGAGAAAAGAGGCTCTGAATCACTTAGATCCTTTTAAGATTCCTAAGATCAAAGACTTTTTAGAATATGTGGAATAGAGAGAGGTCTGGCTAATGAGTCATCAGTCTGTAACGTGTGGCTAGAGAAATCACCAGAGGTCTGAGAGTAGGTAGAGAACAGGACAATGACCAAGCCCAGAGCATTCCAAAATGAAGGGAGAAGGGAGAAGAGGAGGAAGCAGAGGAGATGGAGGGAGAAGGATTAGTGGGGCAGGAGAGAAAACAAGGAAAGGTGACATCCTAGAAGCCAAGTGAAGAAGCTGTTCAAGGTGGTGGGTGTGGACGGCGTGCTCAGGTGTGTCAGATGTTACTGACAGCCCAGTAGAATGGGGACTGAGAGCTGAGGATTGGCCTTCATGGTAGGTGGGTCATTGCTGACCCTGAAAAGAACAGAGTGGCGGGGCAGAAGCCAGGCCAGAGGGAGTTTACAACAATGGAAGGAGAGAAATTGAAGACAGTGAGTGTAGCCAACACTTCAGATGAGAAGTTTTGCTTCAGGGGTAACAAAGAAATGGGACAGTTAACTGATGTGGCAGAAGTTTGGTCAAAGGAAGCGTTTTTTTTTTTCAGTTGGGAGAAATAACATTTGTATACTGACAGGAATGGTGCAGTAGAGAGGGAGAAATGATGAAGTTAAGCATGGAAATATAGCTAGTTCACCTCTGACAGAAAGGCAGAGCGTGCGAGTGCAGTTGCTGGTAGATGGGTAGATATGGCAATAGCAGCTTATGAAAGTACTAACTTTTTAATCCTCACATCAGCCCTGTGAGTCAGATATTATTATCCCCACTTACAGGTGAGGAAACAGAAAAGTTATATAAAATGATTAAGTCAGGAGTATCAGCTAAGTCTAAAAAGCAACCAGTGTTTGGAAAATCATCACTATTGGTATCTCTGATGGGTAATTGAAAAATCTTAATTCTTTTTATTTATCTGAGAAAACTAAGGTAGAATCTGAGACTTCTTACCCCAGAAAAACATTATTTTTTTTTTGCAAATATTTAAAAATCATTTTTTCTTCCTAGAATATGCTCAGAAAAGACCAGAAATCTACCTAATGTTATAGTAGGCCAAACTTTGTCGTCCTTGTGAAAATCATTTTCTTAGGAGCAATGAAATACATATGTCATCCTTCATGGTATTTAGGAATCTTCAAAGTCAAATCTTTGCTCGATTACAGACTAAAGCCACTCTGCTGTTACCGGCTGTAGTCTGTCTCTTAAAAGCCATCAGCTACCATTTTAGTACTCAACTAAAGTCTGCAGTTTCTGCTTAGGGAGTCCCAGCCCTAATGGAGGTTTCCACCCAACACATTCCTAAGACAGTTTCACTAAAGAAGGATGCTGAGCGCTATTTAGTTAGATAAATGAAGATGCAAGATGTTTCTTGCAAGTCAATTTACTTATTCTGCAGGTGGGAGGAAGGTGTGATTGTTTAGAAACACACAGTATTGTTTTCTAAAACATTGTGAATTAAGATATATTTATATTAATATTGTCTGTAGGTCCATTCCAGTCTCAGAAAAAGAACTTATTCCACAAAATTGTCAGCAAATATAAGCACAAAAAGGAGAAGCCTAATGTTCCAGAAAAAGGTATTGGTGCCTTCCATCCTCCATTAAGGTTTCTTGGCCACCTCCGTTGTGAATCCATCGTTGAGTAATGCTTCCTGCACCACCTGTGCCCCTTTACTCCCTTTGCTTGCTTCAGCGTCATCAGTTCCTGACGCAGGCATATTCATCATTCCTAGACTCTGCAACTAATTGCAAAGACAGATTTCCTTCACTTGGCACGCTAGTCAAAACTCCTATTTGTCTCTATTTTTAGAGTTCCATGTGAATCCTAAAATCCCTTCTGCTCGTCTATATTTGGTGCATTTTTTAAATTTAGTCTTCTTGAGCGCTTACCCACCTATTTCCTTTGACTGTTCGTTCTTCTTTTCCTCATGTTTCGCAGCCTTCATACCAGGACCACGCTTTCCCACCTCCTGAACACTCACCAGTTTCATGTTCTTGTGAAAGCCCCCTAATTTCTATACCTTCTCTGATGCTTGAGGATTCTTGTGGACCTTTTTCTTCACTCCTAAATTGTAACCTACCTCTTTTTTTCCCATCTAAATGCTTCATCATTTGCCAGACTCTTCTTCCCACCTCCTTCGGTCATGACTGTTATTCCAAAGGGCACTAGAGACTGAATGTACCCCACCCCTCCCCTCTACTCTGAGCTCTGCCTCACTGTTAGGATCTTGATGGGCCCTTGAACCTCATCAGGGCTCATCCTAAAATCTCTTTCTTCTCAAAGTTCAGGACTCCTTTCCTTTCACATGAAAAATAAGTCTTCCCATCTGGCTCAGTACAGCCACACATCCTGGAAGTTGGGCTTTCTTTAGCATCTCCCTGCATGTGTTGGTATTGTGACTACCATGAACTACTCATCTGATGCCCGTTTGCATCCTGCTTGCATGGCCAAATGTTTTGTGAATGAGGCTTTAAATGCAGCTATCTCCACGTGTAGACACATGTACCTGTGTGTTCCTGTGTGTGACCTTTGACTTAATTTTTATTTCATTTTTACTACTATTTCAAACTCTTTTGTTTGTATATTAATATTACTCTTTCTCTGGTTCCAGTGGAAGAACATGACTCTTTAGGTAAAAATGTCAGCTTTCATCCCCTTTTAACTGTTCTTCAAATTACCGTGATTAAAATTGCAAAAATTATCCAACAATATATTTCATAAAGGATGAATTTATTTTTAATCCATTTTCTGTACAGTCTCATTATCTTAGGTAGCAAATACAGTTTTGAGAATTAAATTGCTAAAATAAAATTTGGCTTGTTTGTGTGATAATGTTTTATGTTTTGTACATTTTGTTTAAGCTGTCTTGTATTTTGTCCTTTGTTTTTTAGTGTATGTGTTTATACTAGGAGTAGAGTTTCACTTTTCTTTTCCTTTTCTGTCATTGTTTTTAGGAAGTGGGGATAAATGGTCAAACAGGCAACTCTTCTTGGATGCCATTCACCCTACAGAAGGTAAAAGAAGCAGTATTCATTATATAATTCCAGGTAGTCTAACTATGTAGAAAAAGACATAATTCATATAGCTTAACCAATAGGATTAGACCTGCCTATCCATAATTAGGTTGTTTTTAAAAACAAAACTGTTATTTATTGGGCTCCTACTAAGAGTCAAGCAATGTGTCACGGGGGTTTAATTTGTTAAAGGGGATTTTGTATCCTTTGAACCACATTAAACAGAAATTAGAATTGTTCGTAGCTAAAAACGTACAGCATTGCAGTTCAGGTTGCAGGCAGATGCTTTTGGCATCAGAGTAGGGCATTATGGGTCTCTCCTGGTTGGCTGGACATAGGCAAGCCTGCAGAAGTGATTCCTGAGCTGAGCTTTCTCCCTAGCACACTCCCCATACCTCTAAAACCAAAACACCTGTTGCCATTGAGTCAATTGTGACTCATGGCAATCCCATGTGTTACAGAGTAGAACTACTCCAGAGGATTTTCTTGGCCATAATCTTTATGGAAGTAGATTGCCAAGACCTTGCCACTGGTTGGATTAGAACAGCCAGATTTGGGTTAGTAGCCAAGAGCGAACTATTTGCGCCACCCAGGGTCACCTTCCCCATATGTCTGCGTGTGTTAAAATAGAATGTCTGAGGCTTATGCATAGCCAAGGAAAAGTTCAATATTAGTTAGCAAAGTGGTAGGTCCTGGGTGTGTATTTCATTTCAGTCAGCAGTATTTATTGTGACTTCATCTAATTTCTGTTCAGTAGTGAACCCTTTAGGTAAATCCTAATTTCTTTGATGGTTTAGGGACCATCCCTCCCTTTTTCCCATTGGTTGCCTTTTTTCCACTGTAGCTCTTTTTAAAAGAGCTGATCGTTTTTTGTAGTCCTTCATTAGAAGTCACTTAATTTGAGAACTAGAAAGGATCTTAGAGATCATCCGGTCCAACTCCTCTGATTTACTGGTATCCGGAGAGGGGAACTTAATGACCAAGTCCATGTCTCTTGGCTCCCAATCCATTGCTCTGTTATTATATACTACCATTCCTTTACTGAAAAGGAGAAAAAAAATAAAATGCATACTTGGCCTAAGTCATTCATCAAAAATACTCACTTTAAAGATGTTTATCAAAATTATTCAAGTTTGTTGTTTGAATTGTTATTGAACATGACTTTTTTTTGGTTGGAAGCCATGTTCAGATGAGCCCCATGTGTACATTTATGTTGTTTTATAGGAAATGCCATCAGTATGTCTGTTTTCTGACCTGTTATTTCACATTCACAAGTCCTATGGAGTATCACTGTATTTTTTGCAAATAATGTGCCCAAGTAAATAACACACCCACATATATAACAGGCAGCATAGCTTGCTTACATGGTTGGAAAAAAAAACATATAGTATGCTTTATTTATGTAAAACTACGATACTTCTGGTTTAAATACTGGCAAAACAAAATGTGAATTGCCATTGTGTTCTCAGCGTTAAATACTCACATTTCAAGATTGATACATTAGCTCTAGTGCATTTTAAAAATATATTCTGCACAGGTTTGATAAACGTAAGGCATTGATGAACTATTGGAGGAACCTAAAAAGGCATTTAAGACACATTGCTCTTTGCCTGAAATGATGCTGTTCTAAATTTTTGAAATTTTTTTTTTAATGATATTGTATTTTAGGTGAAAGTTTACACTGAAAATTAGATTCCCATTTAACAAGTTTTATACAGATTGTTCCATGACATTGGTTATAATTTTCACAGTGTGTCAGCTTTCTCATTATTTCCACTCTCTTTGTTCTGTTTCCATTGATCTAGTTTCCCTTCCCCTCCTTGCCTTCTCATCTTTGCTTTTGGGTAAATATTGACCATTTGGTCTCATATAGGGAGCACATTCCTCACAGGTGATATTGTTTATTTTATAAGCCAGTCTATTATTTGGCTAAAAGGTGATCTCCAGAAACAGCTTCAGTTCCAAGTTCAAAGGTTATCTCAGTCTCAGGGTACCTCTATGTTGTAAATGTTTTGTTTTTTAAACACTGAAAACTCTACATCATGTAAAAGGCGGTGGCAGCATGTGCAGGGCGATAGAAAGCAATTCCGTAGGAAATAGGAGACCTGCTTTCTAGTCTCAGCTCTGCCACTAATTAGAATTATTCAGTGGGAGATAAGAAATTTCGCTGAGATTCACTCTCCACATTTGTTCTAAGTATGTGTATAATACATGTGTTTAGGGATGGGGTGAATGGTGATATGTAGTACTACATGAACTTTAAATTCCATTTCCATTACTAGTGTGTCTGAACATGTGATGTGATCCTGGAAGCACCATATTCTGCAGCCCTAATTTTCTGCCGTTTTGGGCAGAAGTAAATCAATTTTGAGTCTTACAGGTAGTCCCAAGGGTTTGGTGGAAGTAGAGTTATTATTGGAGATATTTAATTACACTCATTATTAATGTGTATGGAACAAAATTTTGGAGAACCTGCACTGACAAATGCATGTCGTTTAGTGTAGAGTACAAACTCATTTTACGAGGCCAGGAAAAAAGAAAAAAGGAATCAAGGTAGTTTGAGTATCAGAAATTACCAGTAATTTGAAGTGACCTTTTGTTGTTGTTGTTATTCTCATACCATCCCCAACAGTTACTTGTTCAGGTGGTGACTGTAGACTTTGTGAATTATCTAGGCTGTTTGCCTCATCCTCTGTCTAACCTATCACTGCTTATTAGAACTTTACCTTGGGGGATATAAATATAGAGGCACAGAAAATGAAACCATAATAAGGATAATTTTAACATTTGTAAGCTATCCTGGGCAAAAGTTAGAACTGTTTGAAGCTGATGTCTATAGTAAAAATGTTGATTCAACTGATGTTATGCAGCTATTCAGCTGTTGCTGGCTTCTGTTAATGTGTGAACTTAAAGTTCACTATACTTTCTTTACTCCACGCTGTGTATAATTGGCTTTCAATTCGTATTTTTTTCCAAAATATCAGAAATCTTTAGATGTTTAGTAATACATCAGAGGTTTGAAAGCTAAGCGTATAATCTGTTTTAAGCATGTTTCCCCATGCTTTTAAAATTCAAAATGGCTAAACCATTTCCTGCAACTTTATCATGTCATAAAAAAAGATTGCCCATTGCATAGAATTAGAGGTAAAATTTTCAGATAAACCAGGAAGACCTACCTTTGCCATTGTGTTTATCTTTCCACCAAGTTATTGGGTCATACACTCATGCTTAAGCTACCAAAAAAAAAAACAAAAAAAAAAAAACCCCAAACCATTAACCATTGAGTCATTTCTGACTCATAGTGACCCTATAGGACAGAGTAGAACTGCCCCATAGGGTTTCAAAGGAGTGGCTGGTGGATTCAAATTGCTGACCTTTTGGTTAGCAGCCGAGCTCTTAACCTCTGCACCACCAGGTCTCCATCTTAGGCTAGAGGTTTCTAATGGTAATGATGATGATGATAATTAATACTTAATATTACTTTACAGAGGACTGTTTTATATATATATATATATATATAATTAGTCTTAATGAACAGCCACAGTGAATTAAAGAAGGTTTGTTTATTAGCTCCAAATACATGAAGGAATTGAATCCCAACCAGTACAACCAGGAAGGAAAGAAACCTGGACTGATTGCACTAAAGCTCGTCGATCACAACATAGTTAAAGACTTCTAACACTTATTCTGTTCAAGTAAATATCAGTGGTGTCTTACTAGAAAACAAAACAAACCTCTAACTAGGGATCTCTATAAGATTATTTTTTTGTTTGTTTCTTGGCAATGTATAAATTGAATTACAGGGGAAAAAAATCTGCTTTATAGTTAGCTCTTCAAATGTGTTCCACAGCACATAGATTAACCTGATCTCTTTTCTCAGTTTTAAAATAGTTGCTATATAACTTCAGCAAAGTCTCCCGGGACATGAGATAAAGCTCATTCTTTTTATTTTCTTCTTGTGTTCCATTCAGCATCTGAATTCCATTTCAGCTCGTGGGAGACCATCCAAAGGCAATTAGGTTTCAGATTTTGGCTGTAGTAATTTCTGTGAGAGTTTGAGTCCCCTAGTTGGGGTAGATTCATGACTCTGGAGTGAGTACTCCAGTGGCTTCCTGGGGAATAATACAAGTAGTGATGCTTTCTCAAAAACCTTACTCCACATTTTGAGAGCAGAGTTTGGAAAACAAGACAGTCTTCTTATTGCTGCATTCCTCACATGGTTCCAAGAGTGAGCTCACGTTATCACTCTCAGAAGATATGCTCTGTGTGTGTTATGATTATGGTTGAGTGTGAAAACTAGCCCTGTGGACCCGTTCTGCAGTGCTTGGATAGTTTGTGTGTTCAATTAAAAGCTGAAAGAAATGACTAATTTGCTTTTGGAGGCCAAAGCCGTTCTTTCCCCACATTTCCATTAGTTTGGCAGGGGAAAAAAGCCCCTGGCTTGATGTCTTTGTACTTACTTCCAGGTTTGTTTCCCTCAAGCTTTATGTTGCATGTCTGTCACCACCAAGCCTTCTTTTGCTTTGTTGTTGCTAGACTCAATCTACTGCTTTGTCCCAGACACTGCTTCTTTGTCTTGGCCTTACCTGCCTTCCGCAATTCTTCTGTCTTAGGAGAGGATCCTCCCTAAAGCCTATCTCTAAGGTGGTCATCCGTCTAGGCCACCAAACAGTATGTCCTGGGGTTGTCTCCCTGGTCAAAGAGATGTGGCAGGACCCAATCTTACGTCTTATCCCAAACTCTAGCAAAGTCAAATTACATATTTTCCTAATGTGGATGATCTGCAGGCCCCATGATCACTACTTGATCAAACAGTAGTAGAAGACTTCTCATTAAGTGGCATCACTTACTTTCAGGACTTTAGGAGAACTTTCAGTGTATTCTTTTTTTGCCTCTTCCACTTGGTCTGGAACCTTATTCAACTCCTCTACCACCTCCTAATTTTCTGACCTCAAGGAGTTGAGTACCACTGACATCTATCGGCCAATCTGCCATCGGCT